CAATTAAGTCATTCAAGCTTGTAGAGATTGTAAAACAAATGTGTAATAATTCAATAGCTTCAAGAATTCACACAACTAAAACAATCAAGTTTGTAATTATGTAAAAACAAATGTATGAGAGCTAAATCATTTTAAGAATTTGCCAAAGATCATTCAAATAATGTTCAAACAAATTTGATCATTTTGTCATAATCAAAGCTATAATCATTTTAAAGCTAACAATTGTTTTACAAAGTAATGTTGCATAGAGAATAATGAGAATAACTAGAACAAGTGAATCACTACTTCATGTAGAACAACTAGAACAAGTGAAATACTATTTCATGCAGAACAACTAAAATAAGTGAAGCACTATTTCACACAGCACAATTAGAATAAGTAGAGCATTACTTCACCCATAACAACTAGGATAAGTGGAACAATCACTTCACATGGATAACAGTGAAAGCAACTCAAAATAAGTGGCAGGGTTCATGAGTTACTTTCATATTGTGATGTTTCAGAGAGTTTGGCTTGGTGGCTTAGATGTGGTGATAGTTAAGAAGTCTTCTTTTTATCCTATTCCTAAAATATAAATGTTTCTCACTCTTACCTTGTTCTCATATACCAGTTCACATACACCTCTTCTCTTGTACCTGTTCCCGTACACTTTTTTTTTTTAACTTGTTGTCATATAACGTTTCACATATACCTCTTTTCTATTACCTTCCACTTGAGAACAAATCTTATTACCCCTAATTGCTTTAACGGTCATATAATGAGTTTTTAATCGTTAATCATTGTATGCAATAAAATCATCATTTTAGTATCCACATAATGGGTTATAGTATCGATTACTCATATTAAAGCTCGTCATAATAATGTCATTCATTACACGCATTAAAGCTTATTCTTGAGTAACCGCGACTTCTGGCATCATATATAGAACCTTCATAATTCATTGGGGATATTCATTTTTCTAAAGCTTTTCCTTCTAGCCTCTCTCTTTAATTTTCTTTTATTTTTTAATTCTTTACCTATTTTCTTCCATCTCTCACGACATTCAGTACTTCATGAACTGCTCTGATCTTCCTTTCTATTGCTTTTGGTCATCCTTTACTTGTTTGCAACGCTTCTTCTCCATATCACAAGAGCTTGATAACTCTATTTCATAGAGCTATTTTGTCATATTTTGAGTATTAAATTGCCTAAGATCTTGAGATTTAGCTTAATAATTAGGTATTTTTATTTATTTGTCTTAGTTTAATAAATCATATTAGGTTGATTTAATTTAAGTTATTTTATTTTTTTTAATGATAGTTTGCTTTTACTTTAGTTATTATGGAGTTAGTTTGTTGCTTTTGTTTGTGTGCAAATGAAAAGGGCTTCTTGGTAAAGAAAAGTGCCATAAAAAGTTCATGCTTCTCCTACACATATTCTAGTATTTTTAGTATAACTCTCATTCTATAAGTCTAATTGATGTAATTCTTAAGCCATTAGAAAGCTAAGAGATGAGGCTACAACTTTTATGTTTACTGCATTACCCATTTTGACATAAATCGAGGAGAAAATAGCATCATAATTTGTTTGAGCGTAGTAAAGTGTACTAGAAGGCGGAAAGTGTAGTGTTGCGGTGCTAAAGAATTGAAGTTGAAACACCCAAAAACCAAAAAGTTGGACAATGTAGCACTAGAAAATTCAAGCTGCTGTGTCGACGAAATATCTCGGACACTCTGAGTCCAGATTTGACTCAAATTAGTTTTTTTTTGGAGCTTATTTATAGGCACCTTTAAAGTAATTGAAAGACACAATTAAGTTAGGGTTTCTTTGAAGAAAAAAAGCCATCAAGCACTTGAGAAAGCGAAGAAAAATTTGGAGGGTTGAAGGTCAAAGACTTGACAATCTTTAAGTTGCTTTTTTTCTCTGCTTCTTTTTTATTTTTCTTAAATTGTTACTATGGTTAAATTTCTTTGGATTATGTTTTTATTATTCATCATGAACTAATTTTATTTATCTAGGATTGCAATTGAACTCAATATATAGTTTGAATTTTTAATGTCTCTCTTGCTTATGATCAATGGAATACGAATTGTTTATTTTAATCTTAAGTTTAATACTTTTAAGTGACTAGCCCCCAATTAGATTAATTTGGATTTCTACCTGCAACTTGACAAAGAGAGTTTAGTGTAGGCCTTGGATGAAATAGCATATGTTCAAATTTATTTAGACTAACTGCCACTGAATGATTTGATTTGTATATAGGATAGACTTATATCTATATGTCATATGTAGCTAAAATTAGAACATGAACTTAATGAGTATTTATTTAATTGAATTTTCATAGGCATATAGTGAATTGGTTAGAGAAGATATTTTTATAAGAACCTTGACAAAAAGTTATAAATAATTTGAAAACTCTAAGTTAGCAACTCAATCCATTTAGTAAGTCAAGAGAGAGAGACAAAATTCAAATAAAATGTTGAGGCATATTGTAATCCTAGGCTGGTTTTATTAATTGATTTGTCTAGTTAAAATTTTCCATTTAGTTTTTAGATTCGATTTAGTTATTATTTAGTTTTAGTTTGGCTTTCAATTAATCACTCAATCAATTGTTTGAATAAAATTAAGTTGTGCTAATTTTACTACTTAGCTAAAGTTTGTACAATTATTTGTGGGATTCAACACTTTATTCACAATTATATTACTTATCAGAGATATGTGCACTTACGTGATAAATCTGACAACAAAACCACTTTACACCACCCGAATCCCAACTCTAAAACTCTAAACAATCAAGAAACCGTATACTTGATTGAATTTTTAGCTATTCAAATTGAGTTTTTATCAATTTAAGCTGTGTTATTGAATTGAAGCTAACTTTTCCATCTTATGTTGGTGGAATGGTAATTACATTGTAACATGCATGATTCTTTGCATATTCACATCATTTTTAGTTTAAAACATAGAGAGTAAGAGTGCAAGTCTCTCATGTAAGCACTTGATTGTTTTGAATTGGAGGTCAACCTGTCAAGCCAGTTAACGAGTGCACTTGTTAATGGATCGAGCCTTATTTAACAGGGTGCCAATTAAAGTTGGATCACAGTTATGATAAAACCTCAACATCGATGGGGGAGGATGGCAGGGCTTTGGCAAATGAAAATTTTAAGGGTAGATTAAATAATGAGGGAAGATGGGAAGAGAAGTGTGCAGCTTCCAGGTTGAGCCGTGACCGTTAGGTTGGGTTTCCACTTCTCCTAGCACCTACAATTCAAATGACAACTCCCTGAAATTTTGCAAGCTTCTTTTGACAAAGAGCTTCCCTTCTCCATGACCAAACACAAACTTCCATTCGATAGAGAAGGGAAAGAGGGAAGAGGGCACATCGTTTGATTTCCGATGGAAGAATTGAAGAATGGTCACGTATCTCCATCATCGTCTCCCCCAACACCACCATCACCTCTTCCCATTAGTGTAGGACCTGGCAACCAAAAGTACTTCTTTTCGCCTTCTCCAACTCCTTCACCACCTTTCTCACCGCCCCCTTCCAGCCATGCATCAGCTGAAAACCTCCCTCTTCTGCATGATCATAACCTGCCGGCGGCTCCAGCTCAAGCTACATCAACTTTTTCACTAGACCGGAAAGACCCCGATGAATTGGAAGATAAAAGTTCATGTCTCAAGGACTTGTAAGTTGTCATTTTCTCCTCAAAATTTTCACCGCCTACATATATGGGGAATACATATATGGGGAATACTACATTAAGCTTATACCTTGAGAGGAACTTGACTAATCTACTAAAGGCTACATTCCACAATGATAGTTATCAGGACGATGAATGCTCCAATTTACTAGAATTAAATTACCTTATGATCCTGCTCAGACTATTGCAACGTTAGGTTTCTGCTCCATCTTGGATTCTGAAATCCAACACCCAACAACCGGTCAAACACACTGCAAAGCTAACGTTTCAATGTAAAATAAGGCACCTTTAAATTTAGCCTGTGACTGACTGGTAGTTGTAGAAATGGGCATGCAAGATAACAGTGATTATTACAAGACACTAATCTAACCAGCACATTCTAAACTTATTACTTTCCTGTTTTTAATTGTATATAACTATACATTTCTTCATCATAACAAAAGGAAAATACTTGTTCTTGCAACTTTTGTTTTTAAGGCTAACCTTTCTGGTTTCAACTCATATTTCATGAAACACAGGTTGGAATGGTTGGTCCAGAAATGCAGCAGTTGCTGCTCCTGATCCTTCATTTGCTCTCAATGGGCAAGTAAAGAAAGTCTTAAGTCAACTCCCACAAAGATGGCCAGGCCATGGAGATACTACAGAACTGAAATTCCACCCACACTTTGTTTGTTTTTTAATTTTTTGGTTTTCTGTTTGTCCTTTTATTTTTCCACCCTGCTGTAACAAGTACTGACTGACCTACCAGCCCATTCGCTTGACAGAAAATTCTTTAGCATCTGCAACTCCAAAAGAAACGAAACAATTGTAGCATGATTCTTCAAACATGCAGGTTTTCCCCTGGTGCAATTCTTGTGAGATTCACTACCTCTGCCCCTATATTCGTGTGGGCTTTTGCATCAAATGATTGGATGATGCTGACTACTATTTGTTGAAATGCATACATAGAAATCAGCATAGAAATAGAAAATGCTTACTATTTAAAAAGATTAATTATTTCAAAATTTTAAAAAAAAAATTATTTTTTATTTAATATCTAATAAATTCTTATAATTAACAATTAATTAATTATAACTGATTAAAATATCACTCATCATTTTATCATATGACATGTTAACCTATCATAATAAATAATAACATAACATATTAATTTCACATGATCATATATAACTTCTTTCTCCTCACGCCATCATCGTATAAACATAAATTGACAAATGACGTTATGATTAATTATAATTAATTAATTGTTAATAAAAAATAATTTATTTAATTTAAAATAAAAATAAAAAGTAATTTAAATTTTTTGAATAGTTCAAGAGTTTTTTTTTAAATATGGTGTCAGTAGAAAACAAAATGAAGTTATATGAAATGAGAAACCACAACAGGCATGATATTTATAAGAACCAGCGATCCTGCAGGGCTTGGAGGTAAAGAGTTATTGCGCGATAATTCGCAAGGGCAGACAAACAACAGTTCTCAGACAGGAACCAAATACATGCTTTCACCAGCAGAAGCATTTACCAATGGGAACCAATCTAATTTCCAAGCCAAATAAATATGGAAGATACACAATTTCCCTATACAGCAACCATGTGAAAACCTTGAACTATTACCAAACAAGGCTACAGTTTATATCACTGCTGACCCTGCTGTCTTTGCTGTGCAAAATTGGGATGACTTTGTGGGTTATTTTGAAGAGCTACCATATTAGACTGTAAATTCTGGGCAGTGGGTATATTACCAAATGCACCTTGTGAACCATGCTGTTGTTGTTGCTGTTGCTGCTGTGGTTGCATGGACATCATGCCACCAGGACCGGATCCCATGTTAAACACTGCAAGCAAATGCCCAAACAGAATTTAAATCTCAACTCTGATAAACTCAATGCTCTACAGAGTTGCATTGCACAATATGCTTTCTCATTTCTCCCAAATTTTGGTTTTGCTGGGTAGAGGAAGATATAGGAGGTGAGAAGAGGAAAGAGGCAACCAAACACCACACTCTAAGAGAAAAAAAATCAAAGAATGTCAGGACCATTATTCATACTTTGATCAGTTAAGATTTGAGATGCATGACCCCGCTGAGGATTGGCACCAGGTAGTCCAAACTGCATAATGGATTGAACAGAATGAATGAGCTATGCAATACTTATGAGGAAGGACAAGTACACAGATGCAGTAGATACAAACACAGATTACATAAACCGCTTTCAGCACACCAATGGAACTATGTGTCTAAGATCTGCCAGATTTGCTACACACTATGCATATGGGCAATCCAAGCTACATCATGCCTCGAACAAGATGTAGCAATCTCTAGCAGCAAATCTAAATCCCCAAAACCAACAAATTTTGATTGAAACAAAGCTAGAGTAAAACCAGTGACTCAGTTCATGCACAAGTGAAAAAGTCAAGTTTTTTTATCTTTTACGCCAAATATCTAAGAAAATTGTAACCACCTCTACCAGCCCATATATATCCCAAGACCAAGGAATTATGAAATTTCTAAAAGAATTTTTAAAAACCAAACAAACAGAATTTTGTATACATCACCATCTTAGCCTATACAGAAGAGAAAATTTCTATTTTTTTATATTTACACCAAGTGAACCTTGAAAATAATGCAAATGGCACCAGGACTGTATAAAGAACCCAAAAGCTTAAAAGATTCAATTTTTTAAATATGACATTTCTTATGGACAAGATAAATTTCACAGCATGCATGACTTGTAAAAAAAGGGAAGGCTGGGTAAAAAACAGAAAATCAGCAATAACATTGGCAGCTAACCTGCATCCTTGGTAGAAGTGACTGTGACGGCATAGTGGCTGACATGTTTGGGATCTAAACCAAGACATTAAAAAAAGGTAAATTATGAAAGAAATAACTTCAATATAAAGAAAAGGAGGTACATCAACATTAAGAACAATACCAATATAAATAACATAAAAGGAAACTGCATTATGGTTGAAAAAAGCAAATATAAATGTACCTCACAAGTTAAAAATATATATAAAAAATGTGGAAAACATTGCAGATGATGAATAATAGTTTCAGTAACCATTTAGAACAGAAACAACGGAAGGAAAAACAGTCAACACATGTTTCATGCACTTGTACAAGAAACAAAAATAGTAGCCTTGAAGATAACAGCTTCACAGCTGTTAACATGTAATGAAGCATTCAAAAAATACAACACAAATCAGAAGTAAAAGAGATGCATAGCACCAACCAAAATGAAAAACTTATTACAGTTTTGCTGAGAAAATTTTTGTAAGTTAAACCATTTTTTCCATTAATCATAATACACGTTCAGAGAAACATTGAAAAAGAATTAGGTTAAAGTGCCCAATATATTACAGCACCTCTATTGAAACAAGTATGTGCAGAAGGGTTTATAATTGCATGGTTGAGAACTGCTGAAGCTGACATGCAAAGCTGTGACCATATAGACCACTAAAAATTTAAGCATCTGTGCAGCTCAAACAAGTAAATTTCAACCACAATCTGTGATCATTTAGTAATGTTCCATTTTCATCCTTGACCTAATAATCCCATGTTTATCATCCGCGACCTTTTCAAACTGTTCGTAATCCACTTCAGTCAGTCAACAGTTAGAATCTTGAGTGAATTTGACATGTCAACACCACGTGTATGTCCATGTGGCTATATCCACCAACATAATGGCTAATGTGCACTTCCACATGCATAATTTTTGTAGTTTACCTTACTCTTCAGTAACATATTCTTTCTTATTTGATAACTTCGAATAATATATTTGATAACTTTTTCACCATACGTTTAAGGTGCATTAAATAGACCAACATAACTGGTTGAGCTGGTAGCCTTCTTTGATTTTAAGTTTTCTGCTTGTGTCAATATTCCCTTTGTTCAAACAATGCATGGGTACAACTACCCATAAAAGTATATAGGATATCATAGAAAACTTCAATTTTAAGTTGGACCAAAAGAAAATCAGAATAGCTGGTATCCTATTTTAGGCTACCTAAATTTAGTGTGCTAAAAACCTTTTGAAAACCAAATGACCATAGTAACCCACCCACAGTGCCACTTTTCAAAATAAAAACAAAAAAACCAACCCACAGTGCCACACCCACATCCCTTCATCACCAATACTTATGAGCCAAAAAAAAACCTTTTGTTTATTTCAAAAAAGAAAAAACATTTGTTTTATCTGAGAGAATAGTCTCTATTTTGTTCCCTCCCTCATAATCAACAACCTCTCTTCAATCAATGCTCTAAAAAACATTTTCAATCCCAGAAAACAATGAGTTTGGCCACTGGGAGGAAACTAGGAACTATCCAAGAACAATCTTAAAGAACTTCCACGGAAAATTCAAAGACAAAAAAATATATAAATTAAATAAGTAATACAAGAAAATTCATATTAATGAATAAGAGAAACCATAACATAATGAACAAATTATTTCTATACCCATCTAACAAGGATGCAAAATTAAAATCAATAGAGTTACACCTGAGTTTCTGCAGGAAACTCCCAAAAGTGAAAAGATAAGACAGATTTCCTAAGTTGAGAAGCATGAAGCATGATGATCTTCAATCTACTATTTCTTTCATTAAGAATACAGAAAGCTAATTCATATAAAATGACTCATGCCATGATTTTTTTTTTTTTTGAATAAAAAAATTATAGGCAATGTTCAGTGCAATAAATACAAGAACACAGATAATAAAACAAATTGAAGAATTATAAATCTAACCATCTGAGTACTTGGTGTCCCCTGAGCAGCATTGTACAGTGCACTATTTGCTGGACTGGAGAATTGGCTTAAATGACGACCCAACTGAGATCCTTGATTGAGTTGACTTTGACCTATGCCATGCTGAACATGTCCAGGAGGAAGCTGCCTACCCTGAAATTGCTGGTGGCCCAAGGGCTGAGAAAATTGCATCTGACCATGCAACTGGTGGAATGAGATATCAGTTTCAGTAAAACCAATAGATGAAGATATATTTGAGAAGGCTAGAATACACATGCTTTCTCAGAAAAAAGTGTCCCAAGTTAGGTCCAAAACAAGAAGAGAGAGACCACTGACTTTAACCCCCTGCCTGTAAAAAAGGAGGGCTCACTTCCCATATCTGCACTAGGTCACCACCAAACACAACCCATCCCCCCTTCCCCCTCCCTGCATGACACCCACCCTCTCCCCTTCTTTCAGATAAAATAAATTGAAAAGCACTGTGAGACTAAGACGAAGTTCAATACATTCATAGAACTTCAATAATCAAACTGGGGGGAAAACAAATCGTCAATCATTTTCACAATAAAAATGTGAGTGATGCTTTCACTTTCATATATAAATATTCATGTGTAAAGCATGCTCAGATTTACAGAATAACTTCCATTGTAATTCACTATCGTAGTTATTTCAGGAGGCAGTTGCAAATCCCATAAAGATTTCTTTGTTCGATAAAAGTGATCAATACCTATCATTTCACAGGTACACAATCCACACCCATTATTTAAAAGCGATAAATAGCTGAAGTCATTTACTTTTGTGGTCGTTTAAAAATTTGCTTGTTAGCTCCACGATATAAAACTCAAACCACAACCAAACCCACCCATTTCTCACTAAAGCTTCTGGTTTATAAAAAGCTATCCAAGTACAGGCAAGAGGCTCCAAAGATATGACTTAAAAACAAACTCATTTCCTAAACTCTAAATATTAAAATTTACAAGGTTATGGACAACAATGATAGTCAAAAGTATAGAAAAGAATGTAGGGGTATTTCCTCATCTCAAAGACCAAAAGCTGGAACACAGTTTTTCATGACGGATATATATGAAGCATGCGTTTGAAATTTATAAGAAAGATTCCATATAAACAAAAAATGAAACAAAGAAGTTAATAGAAAGTTACCGACTGAAACTTCTGCTGAGTCTGACCCTGCAGGTCATGAAGTGGCAGCTGATTCTGTACAATAAATACAATTGTCCATTAATATAATACAACTAAGTGGCTGAGAAGCATGTGGTGCACTTACACATTTCAACAATACAAACATGAAAATTCCAAACAAAATTTTTAAGAATAGTAAGGTTCAGCAATTTTAACAGTCCTTTACCTCATTAAAGTTTTAAAAATCCTACCAAGTCAGCCAAGAGTTATAGTTACTCTGTAAACTAACAGCACGCACTCACATGCATATACACATATAGATGTTGATATATAATGAGTTACTAATTATGGCTTCACAAAAATATTAAAAGAACCAAAAATTGGTAAAACCATACTTGTCCCAGTCCTTGCATTGTAGATTGCCTGAACTGTTGTTGGGCAAGGAGTTGTTGATGCTGAGGCAATTGCATCATTTTTTGCCTTTGCTGCTGCTGCTGCTGCTGCTGCTGCTGTTGTTGTTGTTGTTGCTGCTGCTGTTGCTGGGTTTGTTGCTGAGGAGATGGTGTGTTCATCATATTTGTTCCAGACCTAGGTGAGTTTGCATATTGAAGTGGAGAATTTGTGGTGTTATCAAAGGAGGTAGCACTAGTAGCAGCAGAAGGAGATGCAGCAGATCTTCCAATAAGTTGTGCTCCAGAAGCCTGACATAAGAATAATAAAGATATTGCAATACTATGAACTTTGAACTTGAGTAAACAAGAGATATAACCGGAAATGATACAAATAAGTCGTCATGGGATGAGTATGGAAAATAGTCACAAGAACAGGACATTTGCAAAATTGGTGTAATCAAAGGCAAGCTGTGTGCTTGCCTATCATCCAAGTGAAGTAGCAGTCAATAAGATAACTGCTTTTAGTGCTATAAGTGAAACCACTGGCAAAACACTGTTAAAGCAAACATTAGAACATATTAGCCACTTCCCATATTAAACTTTAGTTAGATGCCTCCACTTAGAAAACCCTTAATTCAGACATATAGAAATTGACTGAAACAAAATAAATCTGTCAGTTTATCCCATGAGTGACATAAAACAGAGGAGAAAGAAGCATCTACTAAGTACAAGAATTCCAAAGTAAGAACTTGAGGCAGGCATTGCAGTCTGGATGCCCAAATGCAGCCCTCTTGCGTAGGACAACGTCCACATATCGTCGCTATAATGGTAAGTTTTATGCATGAATGAGAACCTTATTTTACCTCATTTTAGCACCACTAGACTTCAAAAACACCATTTAGAGAGACTGATGAGGGAAAAGTATGACGCCCTCAATCAGCCAAAGTGACAAAGAACAGACCAGAATGTGTTTAAAAAAAGTCTGCAATTGAGCTCATACAGACTCAGACATGGATGTTGCTCATTAAGAATCAGATATTGGAATGAGTTGACAATTGGAAGAACATAAATAGCCTGTTCACTTTACGGTTTAACAAAAACATACAGATTTACACGCACGTAGATCTAGGAAAGGACTGGTTGGGTTAAGTCAATGATCTAACCTGCAACAAAGACCCTTGACTACCGATGTTGCTTGACGTAAGCGGAGTGTTCTTCATATACATGCCTGTAAGAGAGTTTGAATATGCTCCTTAACAGCATTAGAAACAATCTAGTATTGACTTAGAACAAAACGCTCATGGTTGTAGAAAAATTACCAGATGGATCAGAAAAAGAATGCACTCCATCAGCTGCAGGCATAATGTCAGCCAGATGCAGTGGAAGTGAAGGTGTAATCTGCTTTTGATCTGCAGGTAAATGTAGACCTGCATACATATACCAATGAATAATTGGCTGATAGGGATGCTAAGGTCAAAGTACTAGGACTTGGAAACATAAATACTCCAGCCATTTAAAATTCCATTGAACTTCAATTAATCATAGAAATCAATGCTGAGAACATTCATCTAAAATACCATTAAACTTCAATTACTCCACCACTGTATAAACTAGCCTGATCTCTATTATCTATGACCAAAGGGCAATCCAATAAGATGATAAAAGAACAAAACTAAGAGCTTGTATAAAATGTAGGCCTGTTTTCAATGAGACAAAGAATGATTCGACCCAACAACCACAGCACAGGGGCCAGCATAGCATAAATTAACATTCCCATGATTATGATCAGCTGAATCAGATTTTTGGTCACAGGAAAACAATGAAGGCCATAGATTGGCCCATCAAACTATCAGTTGGAAACCTTTAATATAGTTAGAAGTTGGAACAACAAAAAGACATCTTGTTACATTTGATGAGTTTAAATATAGTACTAAATAAAATGCAAATGATTATCACCTTCACCAAAATTCACAGCAGCACGGAGTAAGTTCTCTTGTTCTTGAATTTTTGCAGCCTGACCCTTGTCAAGAGTTGGAAGAATAGCTGGCCCTTGACGAGAGCCAAAACAATATGCCTTACGGGTATCAGCCAAAACTTTCTCAGCACTTTCACAGGCAGCTCCAATCATATCAATTCTAGTCTGTAAAACTAGAAAAATCACAAGCCTGAAAATCACTGGATTCATTGGGAAAAACAAGATTAACTAGACGGCCTACATTACTCCAGATCACCTTTAACTTATCAATTTGTGAAGGTATTGGCAGATTTTGCATTCCTTGAAGCAACTGCTCCCGCTTCAAATTATCCTCCATTTCCATCTCGGGCAGTAGCTTTGAGGATAACATAACCGGCAATACTGCAGCCAAAGAACCGGGCTTACTTAGTACCACTTGGTATGAAGAAGAAAGAAGATGAGCTACTATGGCAAATTCAAATTAACTCAATCAACATAAACAGATAAAATAAAAAGCTAATAAGATTCAAGTGTAAAGGAAATGAACAAACGTACTGGAGGCATTCTCGGCATTAACATTTTTGGGATGAACAACAAAAGCCTTGGAAACCTTTTTGATTTCATCCACAATGTTGAATAGCTCAAGATTCACCATTGAATATTGCCCCAAAATATCCTGCCTGGTTTACAAACAAACGACAAGAGAAAAAAAAAACCCTAAATATAAGGATGAAAATCTGAAGATTAAACGTTAGACATGAATGGAACAAGAAGAGAGAGAGCGGACCATTTGGGGGTGGTGTTGGTGCGAGAATAGGCGTCGAAGTCTTCGAGGATGCGAGAAATGGCTTTGAAAAGGGAGATTGCTCTGGTCTTGAGAGATTCCAAATTGAGCTGTTGCTGCACCGCCTGGTTCAGCCTCTCCGCCCCTGCTACTACCTGATTCTTCTGCTGTGCCTGTTGCTGCTGCTGCTGCTGCTGTGATGGATCCTGAATCATTCCCTCCATGTCGTTGCTGCTCTTCCTGCCCAGTTCACGAATCACCGATTACCATACAAACACAGAGACTCGGGCCTTTCCCTTCTGTTCTTCTGCTTAGCAGTATTAAAATCTATTGAAGAAATGTTAAGTTGGGAAATCCGGAACAACACCCGACCCGGCTAAAGCTCTCAAAGAATAATACGGACATTTACCTTGGCCATTCGTGTTTTTATGACTTAAAACATGTTAAACACAATTAGAAACAAAATATATTAAAATTAAATATAAATATAATACGAATAATATTTATATTTTAAATTTAAAATATGTATACATATATGTTTAATAATCATGTAATACAATACGATATGATTAATAATATATTTAACATAATTAAATAAAAATAATTTATAATTAAATATTATTTTATTATTTAAATTTAAAATCAATAATTATAAAAATAATTATAAAAAAATAAAATAATAATAATAACATTAAATATAATTAAACAAAAGTTTAAAATTAGAGTTTAGGTATGATATAATTATATTATTATTTTTATAAAATTTAAAAAATTTATTAAAATGATTATTTAAAATGATTTAAATAAAATTAAAATCGTTTTTGATTATTAATTTTTAACAAATTGATAAACATGTCATGTTTACACATTTATATGTTTAGCCACAATAATATGATTAACACGATTAATTAATGTGTCAAATACGATTAATTAAACGTGTCAAATACGAAATACATTAAAACTAAACTCAAACTTATTCAATTCATGTCATGGTAACGTGTCATATCTAAAATTGTCAATTTTACGAAATTGGGTTTTGTTCAAGGTTTTAGCCTTGAAACATAATATTTATATTATGTCATGGTAACGTGTCAATGTACCTTGGTTATTTTTTTTTTATAGTTTAAAACGTATTAGGTACGATTAGATACAAAATATGTCAAATACGATACAAATAATATTTATATTTTAAATTTAAACATATACACGTATATGTTTAATAATCATGTAATACAACACGACATTAATATGTTTGTTAAACGTGTCAATTTAAAACATATCACTATTAATAACACGATTAATACAATTAAATAAAAATATTTATAATTAAATATTATTTTATTATTTAAATTTAAAATAAATAATTATAAAAATATAATAAAACAAAAATTTAAAATTAGAGTTTGGGTATGATATAATTACATTATTATTTTTTATAAAATTTAAAAGAATTATTAAAATAATTATTTAAAATTATTTAAATAAAGCTAAAATAGATTTTAACTATTAATTTTTAACAAATGGATAAACATGTCATTTATACATGTTTAAATATGATTAAATACATTTATATGTTTAATCACAATAACATTATTAATACGATTAATAAAACGTGTCAAACACAAAATACATTAAGGCTAAGCTCAAACTTATTCAATCTCGTGTCATGGTAACGTGTCATATCTAAAATTACCAATTTTACGAAATTGGATTTTGTTCAAGGTTTTGGCATGTTTGACTGAAGTACATTTAAAAAGAGTTTTAGCTTGAAAGAAAAATACGAAGGGTTGTTGGCTTGAAAAGAAATATGAAAGGTTCATTACAAGTCAAGAAGGAAATATGAAAAGTTTAGCAAGAAGGAAATACAAAGGGTTTTTAGAGAGATTTCATCAATTTCACTCTATCCAAAGCAAAGCAAAGCGAGGATAAAATGCTCATGATACTACAAGGAAGGTAGAGAAATGAGACTCTATAATATCAATAAAATCTTTAAATCAATTAAATTAAGTCATAATAAATAATTAAATATATAAGATTAGAATATAAAAATCATTTAGTTTTTTTTTAAAAAAATTGAGAGTTCAAATAGTTTTTAATTAATTTTATTTTTTAAAATTTCCATCCATGCAATTGAAAAAAGAATTACTTATTAGTTACTAGTATAGTTACATAACTTTTTTATTTATTTATTTCTCACTTTTTTATTTTTTTCACTTAGAGATCTGCATTACTTTAACTCGTATCTTATTATTTAATAAGATATCTGAAATCAATAAAATTTTAATTAAATATTTGAATTACTATTTGAACCTGTATTTAAATATTCTAGAACAAAAATGTACAGAGGGAAGGTATCTATTATTTTTGAGATATTCGATTCTAAAACTTTTATGAAAATATCTAAATCTTATTAAAAAAATATTATTTAAAATCGAATCTTAATAGTCAAACCTATTCATTAATTATTTAAATTCATTAAATACATGATTATATAAGATAATTTTTTTATATTTAGATACCCATTTAATAATCGGAATCCGAAACTTAAATAAAAAATATTTTATATTAAGCGATAAGTAATTTACTAACAATTAGTAAATGCAAAAAAAAAAAAAAGTTTAAATAGTGGTTCTGTAATTAGGCTCAGAGTAAGGAAAGCCCAAGCCAAGCCCAAGCTCTATCCGCCTGTCATCTCTGGGGGCATTGTCTATAAATAGAGCAAGGAAATTCCAACCTCTTGAGTCATTCCCAATTCCCATTATCCATCAACCGAGTTCCCCCACTATCTCCACTATCTCCTCTCGCCAAACGAGAACTGCAAAATATTCCCTTTTCATGGCTCGTTCCCTTTCCCAAACCGTAATCAAGCTCAGCCTCGTCTCCAAACCGCGTCCTTCTTCTCGTCTCCTTCCCCTCCGAAGCCTCTCCAACCAACCCAACCACTCCGACCTCTCCGATCCTTCCTCCGACACTTCCTCCTCCGATCCGCTTCTGCAGAAACTCGAAGACGCCATCCACCGGATCATCGTACGCCGTTCAGCGCCCGATTGGCTTCCTTTCATCCCCGGGTCCTCTTACTGGGTCCCGCCATCCTCGGCCCAATCCTACGGCCTGGCCCAGCTCGTTGAGAAATTGGCTAATCCATTGACCCCGGAGGAGTCCATGTCAACCACCACTGCCCGAGGTTGGCCGTCTTCCGAATATTTCATCAAAGGTAAATTTCAGTTACGAATTGCTTACTAATTTTGATTTAGTTTCTCTCTTTCAATTTTGTGGTGGATTCGGTCTCTTTAAGGGCAAAAAATAACCCTCTGATTAAAATTGAAATTCAATGACCCGACCCGATGCTATTTCTTATGACTACTCTAATAACGTTTAATCATTTAACTAGGCTCCCGCTTGGTTGTTGCTTTTAAGGTTTGCCAATTCAATCTTGGCATGTATACTTATTTAGATTTGGTCTTTTTGACCGGATAAATTCTTTATTAATGGGCATTGGGCATCTCTTAATGGGATGTCGTCATTGTTTTAGGCCTAGTAGGGCTTTGCGATTGCCATTGAAAATCAGTGATTGATATGAAAAGTTGCGTTTGAGAGGAATCTCACCGCTAATCAGAACAGTAGGTAAGAACCTACTTTTGTGATTGAGAGAAAATACTCTGTAGTCGTGATTTTTAACAGTAAATTTTACCTTATTAGCGTTGTTTGCGATCAAATGCAATGCCGAACGAGGCCACAAGGAGTAACTACTGACCCTTTTACTTTTCAATGTGCCACTTTGCTGTGTACTTACCTAATTTCCGAACAAGTTTGCAGATGATTGGGTTTCACAAGAAAGTTTGATCTTTTGAGATGTTTATTTTGTTGATGTCGGTTCCGTTACGTTTCCCTGCAAGTCATATGCCTGTGGCTAGATTTGTCTTCAATGAGATTATATCGGGCACCTGCATAAGATCCTTTCTAATTTCCTAAATTTTTATGAGTGGCAGAATATAATGTTCTCTACGACATTTCAGGTGGAACCCCACATTCAGTGGAGCTAAACACATCTTCAAATACTGCATCTAAATCTGAGGATGAGGAAGGATGATACCTTGCCTATTGCATGTAATAGCATCTGGGGTGAGTTATAATTTGCCTCTCTCATGTATATTTTGTATGTCTATTGGATGAGAGGAATTTTTGACTGCTTATATGAAGTTATTTATCAATTATCAATTATGGGTAATGAGATTTGCAGGCTCATCTAGAATTGTGAAGTTATGGAGGGGAGGAGTGAGAAGCAGTTTCGTTGACAAGGAGGAGTTTCAGTTAGATTGGAGGAGCTGTATAGATGCAACATGGCCAGTGGAGAAGCAATAAATTCTTTTTCAACTTTCACAGCTGAAAACGATTCTGTATTTTATGTACTTTAAAGAGGTACGAATTCTTGGTTAGAGTATAAGTTAGATATGTAACATTCTATGTGAAGTCTCAAGTGTGATGTAACTCATCTGGATTAGCATAATATTCAGCTTTTCTTTGGTGTAAATACACAAATCTTTTTGAATACGGGTTGTATCATCCTTCTCTTAGTTTCACGTCACTTGCTTCAATTGCTTGCTACTTGATGCAATATGCATCATAGTAATCCAAGTTTCTCCCAAAGTATGATACATAAGAGGAAGCAGGAAAAGTATTATCGTTTCTGTTCCCAACAATAGTCTAAAGTCTATAGGAGTGAGACTATTTCTTTCTTTTCTTATTTCTTAAGACTAATAAAAGTTATCGTTATCCATGCCTTGTGTTATTGTGTTATCGTGTCATGTCAAGTTCAACTATAACAGATTAATAGGACGACACGAAAACGATATAATTAATTATTCTTGTTAAAATCTTGATAAGAACACAACACATGTTAATATGCATTTAGTTTATTTAAACATGATACAATTAACTCGTTTAGAAATGTTTAATTTATTTAAATACAAATAATAATTTATTTTAATATTTCAAATATTGATAATTCATAATTGATTGTAAACTAGTTAGAAAACTTGAATAATGTGGGTTAACTTGTTATTACAATTAATTAACGTGTGTAAATATGTAATATACAATTAAGTGTATAAACTTGCTCAAGTGTCATGACTCATTTCCCAAGATAGTGATCAACGTGAAGACCTATAAATATGGTTACTAGACCTAAGCAAACATCTTACTTATCATTCATATATTGTCCATACATATCAAATAAACACATTGTCATAACATTAAGATGTAAAATGATGCACCTTCACAACATGGTGGAAGCTACATCAAGATGTGTGGAAACGCTTCTTAAATCATAATATTGTGTGTCATCATAACATGGTGGAATGCTACCTCATGACGTGTGGAAATGCATCTAAAATTTTTAAAACAAAACTAATTTTCATATCTCATGCAAACTTCTAGTCATAACATAGGTGCTATCGAGCAAAAATAAACATTTAACCGTCAAAACATTTAAAACATATAAATCAGAGTGTCACTTGTTGCCACAAACTTATAAAGTAATCATTCACCAACATATAACAATAAAGTAAAGACTAACTTGTCAATAGACTATGACCCAACTCTCTGAGCTTCAAAAAGACTACTAGAACACATACCAAAGAAGACCGAGAGCTTGAATCCACAACAAAAGTAACAAGCTAATCATTGATTTGCAAAAAAATGAGAAACTCACAGAAACTCACAAAAACGCTGTGAGTGAATACGAGGAAGTGGACAAGCTAAGGGAGAAAGTTTTTGCATAAACCATAAGTTGCATAATCATGTCATTCATAAATCTCATTTGTTTTCCTTCAAACTTTTGAAACATGTTGTTCAAAACCATTTCTTAAGGATTTATTTGAAACCATTTTTGTATAAATCATTTAGAATGAAATAGGAGTTATAAACCTTGAAAACCTCGTAAAAACAACTTCAAAAACATTGTTCTATAACTAATGTATCAATACTTTCTACATAAAATGCTTCCTGAGGTATTCTGTTCTAAACGTATCAATACTTCAAGCATAAAACTCAAATTTTTGGGTAATTTTTTGCATTTTCTAACTCTAAAATTCCTTATATTCATAAGGATAATCTTGTAGGCTAAGTTTCACTTGAACTACTTTATCTCATCAAATCCTAGGCTATGTATGTCATATTTCTCATTCAACCTTATACATAGTCATGCTAAGATCTATTCTCAATAATCTTTCTAAAAATCATTACCATTTACTTATTGTGAGTGGTAGCTTGCCTTGACTCAAAGTGGATAGGGTATTCAACCCCCTATCTTGGATTCCTTGAGAGTGACAGTTCGCTTTGACTTTTAGCAAATAATGGTCAAAATCCCCATTATCTTGGATTCTTGAGCTTTTGTGAGTGGCATTTAGCCTCATCCACACTTGATTGGTAGCCTGTCTCGACTTAAAGCAAACAAGGTATTAAACTCCTTATCTTAAATTCCTTATGTAGATCATCTATCATATTCATAACTCATTTCATAATTTCATAATCATGCTCATTATAGCTCATACTTCATTCTCATACTTATAATGTAAGTGGATCTACATCACATACAACTTTACAAGCATACATTTAATGCACGAGTACATAATTCATAATCCTTGCTATAGGTGGGGATTTCTACATCCATTAAAGCATCTCATTATCATAAACTTACATTTCATAGTCAAGTGCATATTTTATACTCATTCATAAACTCATGGCTAGGAATATCTACATCCATCAAGGCATCCATCTAGCGTACATGCAATTCATACTCATTATATCCTCTTAAACTCGTTTTTAAGGGAATCCTTGAAAGGGCTTGTTCCTCTTGTTGAAATTTAATACATAGTAGAATATTTACATGCATATAGATTCAAAAACTTCTTTAAAATCATTTGTGTTCAAAACATTTGAATAGTCATCATAAAAATTATATTTAATCATGCAAAATAAACACCTCAATAAATCATGCTCGCTTTATGTATATATAATACTAAAAAAGGTGTAGCCATTCACCTATTTGAAGGGTCGACCTCTACTAACGATCGAGACTTCACTTCAATGAATTCCTTGGAGTTACGATAGCACCTAAAACATTTGACAATCATCATGATCAATACTTAGCTATGCATCATGTAATAATTATCCTAGGCCATTTAAAAACTAGTCAAGTTCCTCTAAAACTAACTTTAGATTAAACCCATTATTCTTTAGCTAACTAGATGCTTTAACACATAAATTCATTATCCTTACCTTAGTTGAGCTTTAATTTAATAAGGAAAAACCACCAAGTCCTTTAGCTTGAAGGATTAAATAAATCTTGAACAATAAATAGTACTTTTAGAACTGGAAATCTAAGATTTAAAGATTCAAAAAGTTGAAAAATGTCACCTTGTTAAGTAAAACTCAAATCCAAGCTTTAAGTCTTTCGCAAGGATGATGTTTGATAAAATTGGGTTAAGAATGGCTGTGAGTTGAGAGAAAAGTGAAGGAAAATGGTTGAAAATGGAAACCCTTGAAGCATATGTCATATTTATAGTGGGGGTGTGAAATACCCTTTTATCCTTTTTTTATTTTTCTAAAAATGACGAAATGTAGCAATACATTGGGATAATGTATTGATATTTTTGATTTTGGGTCTAATATTGTTTTTGAAAATTCAATATATATTCATTACAGATGAAACCAATGGTACTCCCTCAAATTAGGAACAATCAAGATTCAAGTCTGTTACTTTCACAATCTTGGAGTAACATCCCTGAACCATAGCACCAAGAAATAGAACCCAACAATTAGTACAAAAGAGAAGGTTTCCATGGACTCTCAATTGCTTGCTATTAACCCTTCCTACTGATAGACTCAAAAGATAGCCCTTGTACCAGTTAACAAAACCCTAAAAAATAAAAAGTCTATAAGTAGAGAAAAAACAACAAATAAAACCACCTCTTAATCTTCCCTTGAAAATACATAAATGAACAAAAGCACAAGAAATCACCAAAAATAGTGGCTTAAATCCACCAAAAGAAGTTCTTCCCTACATAAGCACTTTCCTTCAATAGGACCTTCACAGAAGCCTAGAATCTCAAAAATTCAATAACAGAACAGGACAATTTCGAAGCTGCTCCTCAACATCCAAATAAGAATCTCAACAAGACAACTCATCATAAAACCCAAAAAAGAATATACTAAGCAACTCTAGCACAAGAGGTAGCAACAAAAAGAAAAAATAACACAAAAAAATGAGGAAATAATCTTCCATTCATTCCTCATTATCAATGATGTTAAAGAGATCAATTTGGTGATTGACCCTTTCCTTCGCTAGGCTGTCAACAAGTTGATTCCTTTTCCTTGAAATGGTGGTTTACCTCCCATTTGTTAACCACTTTCTTAAGCTTTTCCATATGTAAGATCCACCTCTAGAACCTCCATGAGGCTCCCTCCGATTCATGCACCCACTTCAAAGCACTTTTTGAATCACTTTTGATCACTAATGAATGAGATGTTGCCCATTTAGATCTTGAAAAAAATGAGAAATGCTTCTTTTATGGCTTTCAGTTCAACAAGGCTAGTGTAACACCACCAATTTCTGATATAAATTAAGTTAATGGATGATATGTTATGTATACCAAGTGTTTGAGGATATATATATATATATATATATATATATATATATATATATATATATAGACATTTAGGCAAATTTTGAGGAAATATGTGATAGATCCCATAGTTTGAGGGTTTGATCTAAGTTTGACATTATGTTTGTGAGATTATGTGTATGGGATTAAGTTAATGAATGATTTGAGGTGTGATATTTACAAGGAATGATTTTGGGGTACTATATTAGGATTTTTGAAAAGTTTTAGAAGATTAAAATTGCCTACAAGGGAAAATGTATCGATTCATCCTCTTATGTATTGATACATTCTTGGCAGGAAGAACAATATGAGGTGTTTTGAAGGGATTCTATCAGTACATTTTAGGATGTATCAATAAATTTGGCAAAGGATAAACATGTATCGATACATTGCCTCAGTGTATCGATAATTCATTTGAAATTAGGGTAGATGTATCCATACATTTAATGTATCGATAAATCACAACCAAAAAGCAAAAATACAAAAGGGTGTTAGGTTATTTTTGCCTAACCCTTTCTCTCAGCTCTTTTTCTCCCTTTCTTTCTCTAAAAGCTCAAAGCCCTAACCCCCAAATTGATTTCTAAAGCCATTTGAGACTATTTAGAGCTCGAGAAACCATCCTAAAGATAAGATTCAATGTTTTTACCTATTATTTTTCAATTTAATCGGTTAATAACTTCAAAATCTAATTTTCTCCAAATTTAGTAATTTTTCATTTATGGTTTGGATTGAGGATTTGAAGCTAAGACTCATATAATCCAGCTTCTAAGTTATGGGTTTATCTCGTTAATGAAGAATTTGAGCTAGAATAGTTGGATTGTTAAGATTTGGTTAATTAGGGGAAAAATAACTTTTTTCGAAAGCTAGGAATAATTAATATTTTCATGTTTTGATGTGTTTAAGGGGGGAAACAAAGTTAAATCAACGTGTTGGCAAGCTAGACGATGATTGGGGGGCTAAGGATTGAAGCTTGGCTGACAGTACCTCTAATTTTCACTATGAATGGGTTTGAATAAAATGCATGTAATGCACGACGCAAGATAAATCCATAGCCATTAGAATGAAATATGTATGCCTAGATAAATGAACCTAGGCTAAAGAACAGTATATGAGTATATGTGTATATACGAACTGTGTGTGATCGTGTGTTGTGATGTGAGCCACACAAGTGGCCTATGCTGTGTGTATTTAGACTAAGATGTCTAGAGGCTATGATGAACCTCTAGGAGTAGATTACCCTAGATGAATGATATGTTGAGATGATTTGATTAAATGATACCTTGGAGATTTAGAGACACTTAGAACCTAACTAAGCTTAAGACAATTGAAGCTCGATAAATGTGAATGATAAAGGCATGATGGCCTTATTTGTAGATTTATGTTTCCATTCGAGGAGTGAATTTCGGACGTTGATCTAATTAGTGGTGGAGTGTAGTTCCGTCCCTTTGTGACTATGTGTGTGCCTACAGGGATTGTGGTAAGCAGGGATAGTGGCACTAATCCTACCTGTGATTCCCGTCTGTAGTGCTTTGATGCCATATGTTGAGATTACTCTAAGTGATGCTGACGTTAGGAGATTACTTTGGTTGATGATTTTATTATTGTTCAGCTGTTTAGGCGTTGTGCGTGATTTGTTCTTTGCCCGTTGCTTTTTCACATGAGTGATCTGTTTCTCTGTCAGTGTCTTTCCCCTGACTATGATTTGATTCTCTGCTAGTTAGTCACTGAGCTTGATTTGACTATATTTAGGGAAAGACCACTTGTCGATTTGATTTGCATATGACATAAGATAGCCATGAAAGGACTTAGATAAATATGATATGAATATGATGTGATACTCCGATGACTAAAGTCTGCCATGGAGAATAATGTGAATAACTTTGATTGGCTTTGAGGGTAAGCTTAATGATATGCGTGATGATTTTTGGAGACATTGAGGATGATGACATGCCCCCATATTGGAAGTTTTATGGATAATGATATGCCTTATGTTTGGAGATATTTGTTGGATTATGTTGATGCACTGATAGTGCAATATTTACTATGTGATTATATATATATATATGTATAATTTTGTTTATCTGCGCCACTCACTGAGTATTATAGTACTCACCCATTTACATACCATATGTAGGTAAATAAGCCACAGTGTTGTGTGGTAAAGGTCATCCCACGACAGACCGATTATGACATCCGGTAGGTTTCAATTTTGATGTTCTCACTCCGTTGAGTCCGTCACAAGCTTCCGCATAGGGTTGCTTATGGTTATGTATGTAGGCACATTGTGCCATATGAACTTATGTAAGGTTTGTTAAGAGCGAACCCGTCTTGAATGACCAACGTACGGCCCTATAAATATTTGTAAGAATTTTATGTCAGGGATAATGTAATATATTTGATTTTATTGTGAATATTTGATTATGGAATCTTTTGGCTTATGTTATATGATTTTGGATTTTGAGGCTTGTTTGGGTCTAGTGGGCTTGCTTGCTGAGCTCGTGCGTTGGTCACGAAGCCCTAGGTGGGGTCGTGTCAACTAGAGTCTCCAACTCTAATGGACTTGGGAAACAGGATTTTGATGTGTCCATATTCATCACACAAACCCCACCAATCCCCATTTCACTAGGACTCCTTTGGGCAACCCCATCGACATTGAGCATAATTGTTCATCATGATCCTTTTAAAAAACTTTTTGGCAAAATGTATAGATACTTGTTCAACATGTATCGATACATTTGCTCTAGAATGTAAAAATAAGTTTTAAAACATATCCAATTGGACTCCTTACTCTGCACCACTTTGCAAATCATCTTGCCGCATCAAAATATGAGATTTTTCAAGTGTAAAAACTTAGTTTGATGTTTAAAACATGAAATCTTTATGTTCACCTAAAGATTTCTCAATTTATTCTCTTTTGCAAATTGAGGGTTTCACATTAAGATATAAATATTTCATGTCATAAACAAGTTGACACGATTATAAAAAACTTAAACTCGCTTAACTCCATGTCATACTCGTATCTTGTTAGCAAGTCACGTACAAAATTGTTAAAATCTAAATAAATATAATAATAGAAAGAAATACATAACAAACAACCATGTAAAGGCCATTATACCTTTTAGCACAAAAATTAATTAATTAATATTAAAATTTCAATATTATTTTTCATGTTAATGTATATTTTGTTTGATAAATTGAAAAAATTAAACGAAATTAAACTAAACCCAAAAATTAAACTAAATTGGTACTCAATTGGAAGTTAAATACAAAGTAGATGTTTGCAATCCTTTTCTCACTTGTGGCAATAGCTTTGGACCTATGATGGAGTTGAAGTGTCTACTAGTTTCTTACTATCGTGAACTTACCAATCTAGTAACGAGGTTAATTAACAATCAGGTTGTGGTAGGCCATTAGACCTTGTAGAGGAGTAACGATGAAATGAAGTTTTACAAGTATAGATTAGCCATAAACTATCTATAAGGTTGACAATTGTTGCATTGTGAATGTGCATGTTGTATTTTCTTTTACTTCTTTTCTTGAGACTTAAAGAGGAAACAAAAAAGAAACTTAAAAATTTTGGTGTTTTTATCTTTGTCTTGTAGACAACATAACAAGCCCCTCAACAAAATCGAGGCCACAAGTTTACAATTGTGATAGTGTAGGTAAGATAGTAAGAAATTTGGTAGAATACTTCAACTTGCCAAAAACAATCGTGTCTTTCGACGAAATAAAGGAAAAGAATGAAAAGAAAATGCTAAAAGAAATCGCTAATGAATTGAAAAATGATGAAGTGGATAGCCTTCAAGGATGAAAACCTAAAACAATTGTATCAAAATATGCAAAATATCACTATAGAATAGGTGGAAATTTCCAACGGAAGGAAAAATATTTCCACAGAACTAGGCACAAAGGAAAATGATGAAGATTTTTTTTATTCAAATCCTTCTGAGGAAGTATAAGGTTAAGTGAAATTCTTCTAAAGAAATATCCCAAAAGTCAAATGAGAAAGCCCATGAATCTTAAGAGGAATCCTTTGTAAAGAAAGTGATTAAGAATATTCAAGTCATGATGAAAAAGGCATCCTCTTTCGATAGTTACCTTTTAAAAGTTGAAAGGTTAAACCTAAAGCTTGAATTTTGCCTATTGATCACCTTTAAAATGTCCATTGTAGACAAATTTGATGGAATTGAAGACCCTAAGGTACACTTGAAATAGTTTATTATTATCTTGCAACTTAAAAGCCTATCTAAATAACAGTTAACTTTAACTTTCCTTATGACACTGTGTGAAGCCACCTCTAATTGGGTCATAGCTAACTGAAAACCATAATTAAAGATTAGGAGGAGATTACTTGAGCCTTTATCAAGAAGTGTTCCTATAACACCCAATTGGACATCATTGTCAAAGATCTAGAAACCACTAAACAAAAGCCCAAAAATACTCTTTGATGAATTTTTTTAACCAAGTAGAGAACCAAGGTCGCACTAATGAGCACTCGGCCAACAAAGAAGGGCATGTTAGCTTGATATGAGCTTGTATATTTCTTACAATGACAGCTTTTGTGATAAACGCATTGAACTGGGGCGAATAAAGACTTTAAGACTTAGATAAAGTATAAGAGATTATGTATTGATTCATATTCATTACATCTGGTTTACAACACATATAAGTAGTGATAAAGGTGTCATAACAATTGTACAAAGCTAAAAACAAGTGTTTACATTGTTGCATAAAAGGCCATGCAAGGCCACATGTACACTAAAGAGAGTAAATTAGCTGTAAGCTAGTTTTCAACTAATATGGTTGACTTGGCTAGTAGACGAGTACTCACATGGCCATGACCATGAAAATTCTACTTTTAACACTCTTCCTTTACACTTGCATAAAAAATGTCAAGCTTATCTTTAAGAATTTCAAACCTTGATTTTGTCATAATATCATCTAGTTGTAATTCTAAATTGCAATACTGAACATATATCACACCTATCTTCTTAGCATCTCTAATGGAATGGAACTTCAAGTTGATATGCATTGTTTTTCCATGATAGACAAGATTCTAAGGGATTGTAGTGGCCGATTTATTACCAACAAGTAAATTAGTGGCATGATTTTGTGGGAAGTGCAAATTAGTAATAATCTTTCTTAACCATATTGCTTAATGCCACAGCCCAATCCTAGGCCACGACTGGTGCATGGGCCAAATAAGCATAGCCCACTAGGCCCAAGCAAGCCTCTTTGTGTAAAACTGTTCTTTAGTCCATTTATCGCCCCTCTTTCTTTAAGATCCACAATTCATAATTTCTAATAATAATTTCTTCGAAAATAAATCATGACAACCAAGAATATACCATTCTCAAAATAGTATTATCTCTTGCCAACCTATGACAACATCATTAATTAAACTAAATATACAGTGTTTACAACAAATCTCACAATTTACATCAAAACAACCATACACACATGCAAAAAACCCTTAACTACCAGCAAAGTGACTCTGTGTGTGGGCACTATCATTGAGTGTCATGGTAGACCTATCGAAAGATGGGTATGAGGAAGCCCCTCAACCTAGGATCCAACTACTTCCGAATCTAAAAACCAAAACATGAAGTTGAAAAGAATGAGTATAAACCTAATGAGTGAACATAGGAGGGAACAAGCAAACGATACGGAAGGTTTTATGTAACACAATGCACTTATGTTAGAACAATGCAATTTATATTTCAAAAACTAAACCCGATGCTATGTTGTCTTTTAATTCATTTTGAAAACATTTAAGAATTCCAACCTTCAACATTTAATGCAATCACATTTCATTTCTCCAACATCTCTATAGTATATGTAAACATGTGTATAAGAATTTATGTGTACATATTACATATATATATATATATATATAAATATCTATAGATGTTTCAACATACATCAAAGACATTTAGCTCACTCCTAAAAATAGTCAACATGGTTCGGTACATACAACCACCGACCTCAACTTAGTTCATGAGCATTCCCATACCACACAGTTATTATCATCATGAACTCCCATACCGTACACCACCATTATTGTCATGTGCACTCCCACACCGTACACACATGGTTATAATTGTCATTCAATAATACGTCTCAAGGCATAGCATACATAACAACATGTAAACAAGAATCTTTACATATTAATACCTTCCACATAGTTCATTATCTTTAGTCATATACATGGTTACACAATCCAACTTCCAAGGAAAATAATATTAACCAGCATACCACTAATTACAATATCCCAAAATCTTTAATGCATCGCACGCCACAATTCAATTAGCAATTCAATATAATATTTCAAGCACATGACTCATCACATTATACATTTTACAACATAAGGATATCACTCATCAAGGGCTTGTTCCCATGCATATTTTAAAAGAGTCAAATAAGAATATTCAAGCACTTCATTCAAACATATATGCATTTGTCCAAAACATTTTCAAATGAAAGTTCACTCACCTTGGTAATGCCACCTTACAAAACTAGCACCAATAAGATCTCAATCCAAGTTAAGTCTTGAAGTATTATTCGAACCTATATTTACCAATAAACAATAATAACCTCAAATATATCATAAATTTGAACTTAATAATTCTAATAAATATACACTAGGTAAACTACATTCTAACCTAACATTTAACTTGGAATTCTAGTCTACTTCACAAACCCATTAAACTAACTATTCAAATTTAAGGTTTTCTTACCTTGGTGAGCTTAGAGGTGTAAAAATCAACAAAACATAATAATTTCAAACAAAAATAAAAAATCTAAAAAATTAAAAAATAAAATTTAAAAATATAAATAAATTTGAAAGTTTTGAAGCTAAAAATTTTACCTTATCTCAAATTTAAAGGATTTAAAGTTCAAGCCTTGCCATTTCAAATAGGTGAAGAATAAAAAGAAGAATAGAGAGAGAGAGAGAGAGAGAGTTTCTCTCTCTTAAGGTTCAGTCAAGTGCTGACTTTTTTGAAGAAGAAAGATGAAAAAAGAAATTGAAGAAAAAGAAAAAAAATGAAACATGTTAAAGGGAGAATGAAGTTTTAGGTGGCTATGGCAAGGAAAATGGAAGAAAGCAAGAAAATGGGCTTTGATGGTTAGCCAACTAAGTCAAAAAGAAAGCTTATGTCTAAATAAAATTTTGTCATTAGTTAAATATTTCCACCCATTTTTTTTAACCTCTATAAGATTTAATTGAAATATGAAATAAACTTCCAAAGAATATATTTTGAACTCTTTTATGTCCTTAATTTTATTCTTAATAAAATATAAAGTAAGTTCCAAAAATCATAATTTTTTTTAAAATTTGGTTATCAAATAATTTATTGAATCTTGGATATAAAATATTCACTAAAACTCACCAAGAAGAAAAAATGAATTT